CACACACACACACACACACACACACACACACACACACACACACACACTGGTGGCAGTGAATGGAGCCGATATGATTGATGAAGTCTTTTAGAGTACGATAATCCCACTCAGTGGCTAATGGATTACAACACCAGATGGGCTGCTATCACTCTCTCTCACACACTCACACACACACACAAAGTGCAAACAAACACAAAGACCACCAGCGTGAAGGTCGGGGATGACTGTTAATAGTATGAATTTGAGGACGGAGAGAGCGAGAGGGGCACACGTAGAAAGAGGGAGAACAAAATGAATGCTCAGTCGGAAAGATTTTTACAACCTTGCAGAGCCACACATTCACTTAACACAGCAAGACGTCCTGAGAGCACGGTGCCATATTGTAACAGGGACGCAAAAACTTCTGTGAATAATTTAAGATGACAGTGATAACATCCAGAAAACCCTTTGAAAATAAATGTATCACCAGCGCTATTATTATACTATATTCTTCATGTATCCTGATTTTCCCTGTGTGAGTCTCTCCATTCACGTGGATGTGACGCATAAACAGGATCAAACTTGAAGGATGAAAGTTGAAGTGATCGGGTGAGTGAGATTTCACGTCCTAATCCTCACTAATGAGGTGCAAGCTAGCCTCGAAAGCACAACGGAGATTGAATTACGCCGTTATTTTCAAAATGCAACTTGTGAGTGTGTGAGTGTGTGTGTTTGAGACTTTACCGGTTTTGGATTTCTGCAACATTTCTCCATGTTTTGGCCGAGGAGCTCGCAGCTTATAACAGGATGTTAAAAACCAAAGTGCATGTCTCCGCCTCTCCTTTCTCTCTCCCACACCACGGAGTTAATCTGATTAGACCAGCAGCTGTCTGCGATTCTGTGGCAACAATAGCGGCCTGCTAAGCAGCAGATTAGCATCGTTACATCATGAATTATGCAAGACGTGGAGACAGAGACGCGGCGAGGAGAAGGCTTGAGCCGGGAGATGACGATCATTCAATAATAATAATAATAATTTGGTCAAATAATAACCGAGCAGGAGTAGAAGATAGGCGGGGACGTTTGTTTTATCACAGCCAACCGTCATGTGCCACAGAACTAGGAATTCTTTATTAAATCAAACTCACAGTATGTCCGAGGGGTATACAACATGGTCGGCTGACATCATTATTGGCCGAGACAGTTGAAAACTACTCTCTCTGAATGTGGATGAGGTTTTGTTTTCTACTATAAGAAAGAAATGAAATGAAAGTGAAATGAGGATGCTCACTATCAAATATTCGGTTTGGCATTACAAAGGTAGACCACCAGAGACATTACAGCAGCCCCATGTGATGAGTTTGATTGATCTCGGTCTCGGGTAGTTTACTCTTATTGTTTCGCCTTCATTGCATGTGTTGACTGATGTTAAGTGATCGTTCAGGTTAGTAAAATCCTTTGTCTTCGTCTTCGGGTTGCTGAGCTGCTGACACTGTAAACACAGCCGTGTGAACCAAAACTCACTTTAAAAAGGGTGAAGTGCCTCTCCATTACAGGAGGACCAGTAAAAAACACAAGGTACTGGAGCTAAAATACCAGTATTACCGGGGAAAGGATGAAAAAACGTGGGTCACACGTCAGACGGAATTAAAATCAGTGACCTCACTGACCACCTCCCCATCACCCCCACCCCCCTCCGAGAGAAATCAATCCAGGCCAAATGGGTTGTTAGAGCTTAGTGTTTACTTTGATACTGAACGGAACTTGAACAAAATCTAAGAGTGGCTTATTGAGAAAGGCTCCTTTTCCTCATATTAATAGCCACACCATCAGTGATCCACATTCACTTAGAACAAAATCTAAATGTCATTCGTTAGCTCGGGCTGCTGTCAACCAGAGGAAATCAATCTACTCTGCATGTTATCTCTAGATTAACTAAATCGAGTGCACTCCACCAAGTAGCCGAAATGAGTTATAAATAAACATTAAAAAAAGCTATTTTCAGCATATTCAATTATTTTTAACCTCGTTATTTTATACTTAAATGACAACAACAGCCTCAAAGCTGACCACCTGCCCATTTTAATATGATTTCCGGAAAAATGCAACGAGCCGTCGAAACTGATGCGGGATGCACCTGTTCAACGTATCCTCATGCAACGGTTCAACATGCATAAGGACTTATTAAAATACATTTCTGGCTTCACGGAAAACAACTCAGTCAGGTTTAAGTAACGGTCATAATTTGAGTTCAAATAACTGCAGATGTTATGTCACAAATAAATACATGTTGATTTCTCCTTTCACGGTCTCCTGGGTGAAAGAGCGTTTTTTGTTTGTGTTATAGAAAACATAGAAATGTCAAATACTAAAAACAACTACAACAAATGAGACCAAATAAATGGGAATGTATGCTACCCTTCCATATTTGATTCAATGTTATAAGTAGACTACAATTATCAGAACAATACAGGCTGTACTGTGGATAGAAAATCGACAACAGATAGCCAGCCAGCTCATTTCTGAAGCTGAAGAATAACAAAAAGTTTCAACATCCACATCTGAGCTCTGCTGATGAAGACACTGTAATACAGTCAAAACAGCCATCACAGTGAGTGGTTGGTATTCTTTTGTCAACTGCTATTTCCAAGGCCAAGAATGATACTTTAAAGCTTAACAGAATATGAATTCAACACTTCCACTGTGTTCTCCGACACGAACTCTGAAGTGATGCTGTGTCTGACAGTGTCTCTGCTCCTCTCTTTGCCGTCTAATGAAGTAGACATGGAAAGAAAGAACAAACAATCCACGAACTACCCAGAGGGAGAGCTGCATGAAAGCAGAGAATCATCAGGTGGCGTTGCGTTTAAAGAACAAAACCTGTTTGATGTGGAGAACAAGGAACCTTCCCCTGCAACTGTGCACAGCCCCTGGCTCACACACACACACACACACACACACACACACACACACACACACACCAGCAAACAATGCTTGAAAGCAAGGAGGGACAGCCCACAGGTAGAGCAGCCTGTTGTATGAGAGAGCCTTTAATCGTCTTACCTTTCTTGGTGATGATGATGCGGAGCAGTGGGTTGGCCGCCGACACGGCCTTGTGGTAATTGTCGTCGTTGTTGATGGGGAGGAGGTCCCCGTGGACGTCGGCGTATCCCAGCAGCACGTCAGCGCCGGGGATGCGGTGGATGGTCTGGAGGAGGCAGTAGAACTCCTGGAAGCCGCCGGGGCCATTCCTCTTCAGGGCGAAGCGGCGATACTCCGCCTCGAACTGGAGGAGACAACCAACGCGAGCGTGAAAACGGGGCTTCCCACTCCCCCCTCCCAGATGCTCCTCAGTTTAGGATCGACTTGTATAATCGAATACACTTACAGACATTGACAGTTTGCGATTTCATTTGAGAAGCACTCGTACGGACAGATTCATTCCTAAATGTATAGTCGCCATAGAAGCCGGCACGAGGCAGGCGTGGTGACTGTCACAAATAGTTCACTGATAGAAGCACTACAACATGTCGGAGGATTTTACAAAGGCGGTCAATTAGTTTTAAGACACAGGAGGTCTTAAAAATCTTCATCTGAGAAAATACTTTGCAGCCAACAGTTAACAGGATATTCAACCTCTGTTTCATTTAAATATTGACTTGTTTCTTTGCAGGGCTCGTATAAAAGGCAAAAAAGTAGGCCATGAATATGAGATAAATGATTACAATCCCTCTTCGGCATTGTTGAGGTTGGTTTCATAGACTGTACATAATAAGTGCACGTAGTCATCGGGATGTCACTCATTGGTTTGTGGACTGCCGTTTTGAAGCCTCGAGTTCGGCGATTTGGCCGTCGCCATCTTGGATTACGGCCGTTGTCTTTTTTGCAGCTGATGAACAGAAGTGACCATATTTGGAATGTGGAGGAGTGACGTAGTGACACCGGATACGTCTCTGGTAGCAGTAGCGACCTATCAATCACAGTAAGCCCGCTCGACTCTAAATGGACCATAATTTACGAAATGGACATCATGCTGTATTGAAGAAGACTTGAAACTAGAGATTGAGACCATAAACTCATGTTTACAATGTTTACTGAGGTAATAAATCAAGAGAGAAGTAGAGTCATTTTCTCATAGACTTCTATACAACCAGACTTCTTTTTGCAACCGGAGGAGTCGTCCCCTGCTGGTTAGTAGAGAGAATGCACGTTTTAAGACACCTCTGCATTGGCTTCACTCAGCAGAACCGGAGGTTGCCACCTGGTTTCAACTGACAATAATATTGCGTAATCCGGCATTAGTCTGACCTTTTGAACTCTGGTCAAGTCGGGCCTGTCCTCAGCTCAAGGGGAGGAAAAAAGCATCTTTCATTGACAGCTGCCAGCAGGACGTATGCTGGGTTTGTCCTTTCCAGGATATAAAATGCCTATTGTTCTCTGGAGCTGGCAGGACAGGTACTGCATGTGTGCTCCACACATGCAGCTTATAATTAAAGGGCACCGTGTGCACTCTCAAAGTGTTTCACAATTTCACATGGAAGAGGTCAATGGCCTTGTTTCAAAGGTATACTGTGCGTTTGTAACGCACACATACCAGTAGTTAGTGCAGAGGTGTGATTGCAGCACACAAGAAACATTTTGTCTTGGGTGGGGAGCTAATTACAACACTGGAAATACTCCAGTCTAGTTAAATGGATTATTGTAGGGAAAGGCGGGTTTATGTTATTATGTAAATGGCTTAACAGGAACGTTATCTCACTCACTGTGTTGGTATGCAGCGCTGCACACAAGTAAATGGAGCCATTATTAATGCCACAATGGAACAGCGACAGCCTGTCTTATTCAGATTATGATGAAAATATGATAATGAATCACCAGTGTGATTCATTGCTGATCAATTCCTCATGTCAAATCTTGTTTTTTTTCCCCTCAAATAATACACTAAAAATGTGTGCAGGAGGACGGCGGGCTCTGCCTCCAATCACATCACAACTCAGACTTCAGTGTGAGACTTAACTTGAAGACGGTCAAACACTAGAAAAACTGTGCACTGAAAACTAACTGCTCTTTCTAATAACCATCAGGGGGTGACTCCTCTGGTTGCAGAAAGAAGTCTGATAAAAGCAGTGTATACTTTTAGGGCGTGGCTACCTTGTGGTTGACAGGTCTCTGCCGCTACCATAGCCTCATAGCATCTCTACGTCACTCCTCTGCATTCCAAATATGGTCACCTCCGTTCACCGGTTTCAAAAAAGCCAAGATGGCGACGGCCAAAACGCTGAAGGCTCTAGTCCACAAACCAATGGGTGACATCATGACGACTACGTCCACTTCTTTTTACAGTCTATCGATCAGATTCATCCAGAGTGGAACTTAGCTGCGTCCAACTGTGTCAACCTGCCCGATCGGATATATTTCGTGGTCAAAGCAGCGGCTGTAAAACGGTGGATAAACACATTTAATTCCTCTTAAATTCTTCACAATAAAAGTCCCCCCCCTTTTTTTGTTGCTGCGTATTCTTCCTCTTTGCAGTATATTAGTAGACTTGTTTTATTGAAGAATAGCCGCTAACGAAGCTACGCTAATTTGGGGATAAACACATTTTACTATAAATCTTCACAATAACACGCCCCCATTATTTTGTAATTCAAAAGCTTTTATTTTGAAGCAGCAAAAATCTGAAAATGTTCTCTATATGTATGCATATAAATCTGAAAATGTAAATGTTATATATGTAATTTTTGATGATGTATATATATTTTTCATTTAATGTTTAACTGATAGCATTAATTGGTCAAATTTGTTATGGTCGGTAAAACGGTTAATTATTAACATCTCTAAATACAGTGTGTTGGAATACAAATGTCTCCTTTTCTAGATAACGTTTGGTACCCAGCAGATCCAGAGCATGTGCAAATCTACACAGGCCTTCGCGAAAAGACCTCCCAGCTTATTTCAGCACAGGTTGAAAATGTACCGAGCGTTGGCTAGTTCACTTCCCCTCAACGCTTTCTGAACAAGAAGCTGCACACAAGTAAATGACGTGACTATTTGACAGACACAAAAAGAGAGAGAGTCAGACAGACAGTGAGACAGAGAGGGAGATGATGTTTGGCAGTTCAGAACATACCCGTATATGAGACAGACCATTACAGACAGTGTGTGTAGGTCTGACTATGTGTATGTGTGTGTGTCCTTATTCCATGCTTAGTGAGGTGGGTATGTTGATGAAGTAATTCCCTTCAAATCCTGAAAACTTTGCCTGTTAGATGGAAATCCTTCAAGTGTTGAAAGGTTTGTTTTCTGGGCTTTGGGTATCGGCCCCCAATACTGAGATCCGAAGTGATACCTGTGTTTCATTAATAAGCCGTACGCCTCGCTGTGTGGAAGAGTCTGGGCTTTTTCTTTCATGTGTAAAAGATGCACGTGTGTCCGATATCACCATGACTGTCTCTGAGGACGGATATTTTCATGCTTCCTTCGTTCATAATTCTCTCTTTCTCACTCCTACCGCTATTCTATTCTTACAACAGCTGATCAAAGCTCTTTTAGTTGAGCCAACCAGATCTCGCCACTATCTCCAATCAGCCAATCATGTCAAACTTTAAATCTGTTCTCCTCTCTGTTACCGTCAGCTGCGATTTCAGGGTTCGGGTACGGTCCCTCATCAGAAATCCACTCCTCATATTGGTTTGATCTTCAACATTCTCTTCATCACATCAGTGTCTCTATAGGGGGACTTGAAGCTTCATCACCTCCTTAAAATACACAATTTATTAACCAAAGACGACATGCATTTCTCATCTTGCGCACAAAAATGACTGAATACTGGCCTTCATTACTCTAAACTAAACTATGATCCTTTTTGGAGGAGAGCTTGCAGAGGTCAGGAGGCGCTCCCAGGCCCCCGTTACCACTTCCTGTTTCAGTATGTGGTCAGGGGGCTGTCAACGACAGAGACAATATCCACTCTTTACTACGAGACGTTCAGCACGCAGAGCTGCAGGTTGTCTCTTGACAGCCGTGTTTTAAAAACTGCTCTTGTCACACATCAACATCATCCAGTTTTAACTCCCTAACTGCAAAACCTGCTGACCATTCACTTTCTTATCCTCATTATAGTGGGGAAGTCATGTGAAGAATGCTTCCTTCCACAGCGGTGCATTATTAATGTAATAAGTATTGTTTTGATGCTTTAGCTGCTCTAAGTACTGTATGGATTGTTGGCATATGCGTCTTTACAAGGGGGCAATATTGTCAAAGGACATGTGGACACAATGCCAATGTCAATGACAATGTATGGAGCTCCAAGGCACAGCAACCAAGCAATGAAAACACAAACTGAGAATCCATTCAAATGAAGATGCTCCAGACTGACTGAGTATAATCTTTTTTTTACCGACAGTGATTTTCAGTGATGTATTAACTTGTTGTCATATGGAAATTAAAGCTCTATCTGACCTGTCACACGGGAACAACTCGGATAACCATGTTTTGAATGTTATGCATGCACCTTAAAATGCAAAGTTGCAGCTGGCAGCAACGCCTGTTTTTTCTCAATTAGTGGAAAATTAGCCTCCAAAAAAAAGGAAACACTCAAATAAAATAGGCTTTTAAAACTACAGAC